ATAGCCATACTAAAACTTGCACCTAAAAATAACCTGGAGTGTTTATAGTGTCTATTATACTCTAAGTTAAATCTTAGTTTATAAACCCATTACATTTTAAGATCAGGAGTTTTTTTAATGCTCATTCAAGCATCTCTGTGCTAATGGCAGTTCGCCAGACAAATTTCTGATATTACTCATTCTTCTGATCTCGTTAAATCTTATGAAATGTTTTCCAATTCAGTGGTTTTTTAAATTAAATTCTCACCCATCATTGTTGATATGCTGATATAGCAGCAGAATACACGCTAATAGGTGATATGTATTTTACTTTTTTCTTATAAAAAAAAAAAAAAAGGTTATAATTTCATTTCCCAAAGCTCCAAAAAGCGCTAAAAAGAATTATGAAATGTTTTCTAATTAAGTGGTTTTTTAAATTAAATTCTCAACCATCATTGTTGATATGCTGATATAGCAGCAGAATACACGCTAATAGGTGATATGTATTTTACTTTTTTCTTATAAAAAAAAAAAAAAGGTTATAATTTCATTTCCCAAAGCTCCAAAAAGCGCTAAAAAGACATAATAATTTGTATTTAAAGCCTGCGTCAGTATTTAAATGGCCATACTTGTATCTACCTATTGGTTCATTGGTAGCAGAATGAACTTTGTTGTGTGGGCATTAATTTTTTTTTCTATGCTGCTCAATAATTTTTTTCTACCACTGTTCACTGTTGTAAATTATCATATAATTTTCTTTATATTTATTTATTATTTATACATTATATTTATTTGGTGCTAAATCATAAAAGCTTTCTTTAGCTAAAATTTCTCTCAGTTGATGTTTACCTTCATGGATAAAACTTGACTCTACACAGATATTTAATTTTTCCTTTTTTTAAAAATAAAAACCTGTGTAACCTTGTCAAGAAATTAAAGCTACTGTGTAATAGAAAAATTAATGCCTAATGAGTTTGCTTTATTTAGTGATGTTTTTTATGCGAAGTTATTTGAACCAAACTGACCCCCCAGTGTAAAAGTTTAACCAAATTGACCCAATGTGAAAGTTAAACCAAACTGATTCAATGTTAAAAGTTTAAAGTTAAACCAAAATGACCCAATGATGAAAGTTAAGCCAAACTGACCCAATGATGAAAGTTAAACCAAACTGACCCAATGATGAAAGTTAAACCAAACTGATCCAATGTTAAAAGTTTAACCAAACTGATCCAATGATGAAAGTTAAACCAAACTGACCCAATGATGAAAGTTAAACCAAACTGACCCAATGATGAAAGTTAAACCAAACTGATCCAATGTTAAAAGTTTAACCAAACTGATCCAATGATGAAAGTTAAACCAAACTTATTATTATAAAAAAACAATTTAAAAAAAAAAAATCTAATACTAATGTGTAGGCTACTTTCTGCTTACATTACAATAATTAGCACATTTTTTGTGTTTTAAAAAATCTAAGCTTTTTGCTTGAAATTTGTTTGATTCGGTTTGTTGGAGATTTTATTCGGCTTCTTTTTTTTTCAAACATTTGTGTTAACACAACAGTAACTGTTGTTAAATGTTTACAAAATGCTAACAACAAACTTTTGAAGTGCTTTTTTTTTTTTTTTTGCGGTTGGGGGTGGGGGGGGTTTTGCTAAAAAATGTTCTATAATATTAGGTTTGGTTGTCACTGGACATGTTATCACTGGACATGTTATATAACGAGTATGGGTGGCTCAAAATGTCATCAGTTTTGTTTTATAATATTGGAACGGTCCCTTTCATCTGTATCTTCGGTGGGAGCATGAGCATTTATATCTCTATTCCCTGGGGATCCTATCCCGTTCCCCGATGTTATCCCGTTCCCCGATGTTATCCCGTTCCCGCTTTGATCCCATTACCAGTGGGATCCAGTACCCTGTTGGTTACCATTCCTTGGTGGGATCCCTTTCTTCTTGGGATTCCATTCAGGTTGGGATCTATTCTCTGTTGTGATACTGTTGTCAGGGTGGATCACGTTTTCTCAGTTGGATCCCATTCCCCGTTAGGATCCTGTTTCTCTGTGAGATCACGTTCCCAGAGAGATCCTGTGCCACTGGTGGGATTATGAAGGGTTTTGGACAATCTTGGCTACGGTCCATCGGAACACAGAGTAGTGTAATCTAAGCCTTAAAGTTAACTGAGCATAAATAAACGTGATAGATAAGGGTATTTAAATGATCTTTAAACGATCAAAGAAAAAAATCGAAACTTCTAGAATAATCTAGAAACTTCATGAAACCTATAAAAAGATGACTCAGTGATATTTTTGGAAACTCCACAGGAAAGTATAGAAATGAATAAAATTAAACTAACATTTCAGCTTAGATCACACTATATAACCCTATGCCTACGGAACAATCTATAAATTTTTGGAACATTCCAGTTTCATTTAATAACCTCCTCGAAACGTATGATAAATGGGGTTTTCTGCGTAATTATTTTTCGAATCTGAAAAACTCTATAACTAAATGCCATAACTATAACCATTCTCCTTTTAAGTAAAAGGGGAGTCGGGTTGGGGGGGGGGAGGTGCCTCGGTGGAGACCTATTTTATTATTGTACCGATTTAGTTATGTCTGAGTTAGATAAATAATGGAGTTCAAATTTAAAAGTTGTCCCATTAAAATCGGTTTAAAAATTCTATGGATCTAGCCTTTTAATTTATCGACGTTCTATAAAATTCTAGACGGGCCCTGAATAGATATGATAAGATATGTATAAATACTAATATGCTTAGACAACAATAAAGGCTTCTACCTCAAAATAAATTGATGGACATATGCCAAGCATTGTAGGATCTATATTCCTCTAGAATTTTTTAGAGAGTTCTATAACGCAACATGTTAGATCTCCGGCATTTTAACTGGACAACTTTTAAAGTTTCACGCCATTATTTATTAAATTGATTTTTAATACGGCCCCTTATTCAAGGCATAACTAAAATGCACCTTAAACTTGAAGAATGGAACCCGACAGGGACCCCTATTTAAACTTGCAATAAAAATTGGTTACAGTTGAGTTTATTTTGCTGGAAAAGAGTGTGGAGCGAAGTTAAGACTGTTGCTTCTAATTCCCTTTTCACAACCACATGATGTCCACTTGGTTTCCCAAGCTATGTCTTCCCTGTATTCACATAAACCATCATGAAACGTAAGAGCTGACTCCTCCCTCACCTGTTGTACCTATGCCCGGTACCTGTCATTTGTGACAGTACCCGGTAATGTATCTTCTTAAAAAGGCAGACGAACCGGCAACAAAACACGTGAGTGGGAAACAAAACACATGAATGGGAAACAAAACACATGAGTGGGAAACAAAAAACACATGAGTGGGCAACAAAACATATGAATGGGAAACAAAACACATGAATGGGAAACAAAACACATGAATGGGAAACAAAACACATGAATGGGCAACAAAACACATGAGTGGGAAACAAAACACATGAATGGGGAAAAAACACATGAATGGGAAACAAAACACATGAATGGGCAACAAAACACTTGAATTGGCAACAAAACACATGAATGGGAACACATGAATGGGACACAAAACACATGAATGGGAAAAAACACATGAATGGGAAACAAAAAACACGAATGGAAAAAAACACGTGAATGGGCAACAAAACACATGAATGGGAAACAAAACACATGAATTGGAAAAAACACATGAATGGGAAAAAACACATGTATGTGCAACAAAACACATGAGTGGGAAACAAAACACATGAGTGGGAAACAAAACACATTTATGGAAACAAATCTACAAGTATTTAACTGTGAAAATTAGAAATTCGTTAACAATTAATGCAAGCTACGGGCATATTTGTTTAAATTATAGATGTGATCCTGTTCCCGTTGGGCGGGCGAGAAGAGGTGATACTGTACAGCCATGGGCGCCCGCAGGTAGGGGCAAGGTGGGGCACCCCCCCCCCTGGATTGATTGGATAAAAAAAATTTAGACAAAAATATATATATTTTTTTTTATTAAAGTAAAGAGAAAATAAAGAGAAAGTAACTAAGCTGATGTCCTGTCCGTTCGTTCACCATACAAATACGCTACTGTAAATTAAAACTACATTAAAACATTACTAAAAAAATTTTGCCCCCCCCCCCTGGAAAGTTAATCGATTTTTTTTCCCCCCCCCCCCCCCGAAAGTTTTCTGCGGGCGCCCATGTGTGCAACATGTAAAACTAAAAAAGTCGTTACGCATTGAAGGCGGCACAGGTAAATGCTTTCTAATCAAGGTTCCCGACCCCCCACAGCTGCTACACTGGAGCCTTTGATTGTTTTAAAACTAATCAAACGTACTCCAGTGAAATGAATTAGGTTGAATCTAAAAATGCGGCTTAATTAAAGTTTCATTGATATTTTTCGTAGTTATTGTTTCTGTCCGCAATATCAATGTTCGCAATTGTCCGAGTGCGGAATTTTCGGTGTACGCATTGGTCGGTGTGCGCTGTTTTTAGTGTGCGCCATTGTCGGTGCGTACATTTTTTCTTGTGCACGTTATCGTGTGCACGTTTGTCCTGTGCATATATGCCTGGTCACCCTTCTAATAAAAGGGAGAAGGGAAAGTTAAAAATGGTCCAAAATGGGTTAATGGTGACTCTGGTGACTCTGGTGAGATATTATTAATGGATGGTTCCCAAGTCTTATAAGTTATAATTATAAGTAAGTTCAATCTATGTACATAATTATAATTAATTATATACGCCTTTTTAGAGTGCTACAATAGCAATAATAATTAAAATCGCCAAAATGATACTCTACCAAATGAAATTTAAAAAAATAATATCATATGATTACTTTTGATTTATACAATTTGTTTGTTTCAATAAATCGAACAAATGTTTTTTGATCAAATGAAAAGTTTGTTTCTGTTTGTTGGTAAGGTTTTTAAATTTTTGTTTAAAAAGTTAAGGGGAGGCTATTCCAAATTACTGGTTTAATTAAAAATTTAAAACCCGATAATAGCATAATGACATCATTTGTTTAGTATCGTAGAAAGTTAATGTATAGTACCGGTATAGGTAAATATAATAATTTTTAAGATATCATGTCGGTAGCAGATCTTTTAAGAAACTCGCCTAAAGGACGACTTGAATATCATGGAGTATGGGATAGTGCTAAATTAAAGGTTTGCTAGTTTGCTATATTTATATAATTTATATAATTTATAATCGATGAGGCTCGGATGCGATGATTCAATTGACATAATAATTATATAAATTGCTTTTTAATTTTTACATTAAAAAATAAACACTTTTCGGACAATTTTTTTAATTAATAAAATTTATTCAAATAGTGACACTGTCAGTCATCATAATTCACAGTTTCAGTAAATTTGGAGAGAGAGCACCGCGGCCGCCATCATGGTTGCCGCGACCCGCGAACTTATGTCCTAAATTTAAATGTATAGGCCTATCCCTGCCTTAACCTAACCTGAACCCTAAATCTATCCCTAAACATAACATGAACCCTAAACTTATTCCCAACCTAGGTTTTGACGCTATCAGAACCAGCGTTTTGACCCTATCGGAACCAGGGACACAACATGCAAATGATGTCAGTGTCAGCTATCTCTCCAAATTAGCCACAGTGTCTTTCTCAAAATAAAGGCCATTGTGATTGTGTTGTCGCCAGTTTGTCAATATACAGATTAATTTAATTAACATACATTAACATTTTAACAAACATTAATATTGATTCAATTGATAATGATATTGACATTTGACATCATTGTAATTGTTTTGTATTGATAGAGTTTCGCCAAGCCTACGTCGCCTTGACTTGACTTAGACTTAGATCACATGTGTCAAACTCAAGGCCCGTTGGTCACATCCCACCCGCCAAACAATTATATCAGGCCCACGAGGTCTTGACCGGCGTACAATTATATCCAAGTCAACGCGATGGTCCTATGGTGTTTCCCAATGCACACTTTTCTGAAAAACTTAGCTGAGTTCGCGCTGAGTTTGCACTGCAATTTAGTGAGTTTGAAGCGCGGAAATGTAATTTCGAGCTATTCCGTAACCCATTTGCCATAGGCATGGAAACTGCACCTGTAAATTTGTAGATGGAGCTAATGAAGCTGCAGTGTAATGGGACACTAAAGGCAAAATACGACACATTTGCACAGTTCACTCGTTTCATACCTGAACTGATGCCCCATCTTCGTCTATACGCGGCTTGAGCATGTGAGTAGCACATATATTTGTGAGCAGCTGTTTTCTGTGATGAAGACTTGCAGTCCATCATGAGAATCTCAATGACACAGAACATTACTCCCAACATAAACAAACTTACAGGTTTTTGTAGCCAAGAAATGTGCCAAACATCCAGCTCTGACAAATTGATATAAGAACAAAAATAGATATGCCATATGCCATTGATTTTTAAAATATTAAAACTTTTTTCTGTTTTCATTTATATAAATGTTTTTTTTTAAATATTAATTTTCCGCTTATTGAATGTTTAACCGGTTCAGCCCGCAAACTTACATGTGATTTGAGTTTTGTCCACCCAAGCGATTGAGTTTGACACCCCTGACATAGACTGACTAACTACCAGACTACTAAGACTTACAATTTACACTACATTGTCATTGAGTTGGCTACATCAAAATTATAATTATTGAAATTTGATTATTTAGTTATTATCTTTACGGGAATTTAAATTTAATATTATTGTTATTAATATTAGTATTAGACCTTATCTATTAATAGAGTAATATTAGTAATACTCGTTTAAATTTTTTGGTAAAATCATATTTTTTTAAGGCAATGGCCTCTTATTTATATTAGATTTATATTCCAGTTCCATAGAAGGCTCTTTAATCAATGGTATTAATAAGAGGAAGAGACTGCAATCCGGTTAGGTAAAATGATATGAAGGAAACAAAGTATGGGAAAACCTGAGAAAAAAAAGAAGCAACAAAACATCGAACATGTTGGCAAGAAACCTTCTTCTGCAAACAAACAAAAGTAAAAACAATAAAAATTGAGAAATTAACACTTAGCTTCAATTTAGTATCTGGGAGGACATCAATAGGAATGTTGCTGACTAATTAATAACTTTAAATTTATTTAACTAAAATATGAGATACCATAATTTTAGCGAAGTATTAAACAAACTTATTTTCATGTGTATTGTAAATTGCTGGTCTATCATCATCAGAACCATTCAATTATGTCTATAAATATAAAATTATAATAACAATCAGTCTCACTGCCAGCCGTCACAGTAATAATAAAAGCTTTTAATACTCACTTTAAGTGCCAGGCTATTAACTGGCCTACTTGGATTTATTCTATAAAGTGCCTTCATTTATTGTCACCACTCACAGTACACCTAAATAAATACTAAAAATCTGATATAACCCTCAATTTATACAATTATTCTTAATTTATTCATACATTGTTGGCATGGTCTAGGGATAGTGAACATACCTGACATTCACCTAATTCCGGTCAGGTTTACAGTTCCAAGCACTAATTATATTTTAATTCAGGTTTTGATTTCACCTACTTATTTAGCCGATTGGTTCAGTTTGTTTTTCGTAGAAAGATATAGAAATAGATTTTTTAATGCATTTTTTATAAATTCAATATTAGACTTTTTTATAGTAGTATACTACTAGTAGTATTAGAAGGAAAAGAGCGAAAGTATGGGAAAACCTGAAAAAGGGACGCAAATAACCAACAAATATATCTACAAGAAGCCTTCTTTAGTGAACAAACAGTGAAACAATATAAATTTTTTTTTAAACTTAGCTGCAACGTAGTAATCCAAGTAACCACATGGGATGAATGTCATGTTATCATTCCCTTGTTAAACCTTTTCTCCGCCCCTTCATCGTGACAACCAATTGCAGTAGACTTGCATGTCCTTTTTCTGTCCAATTTTGCCTGTCTTTAATCTCTCACCTACGAACGTTCTGTCCCATTCCACTTCAAACTTATTCTCTGAAGAAGGCTTCTTGCAGATGATCCTTTTGTTGTTTTGTTGCATCCTTTTTCAGGTTTTCCCACAATTTGTTTTCCTCATTTCCTTTTACCCAACCTGATTGCAGTCTCTCCCCTTATTAGCAATAGTAGCCGTAGGCCCTTTTAAATTAAATTATCAATATTATTAACCCTAAACAAATTATTAGGTCTATTTAGTATTAGTGTTATAATATATTGTAAAGTATACAAATTTAATATTGATAATTATATGCCCAAATTTTGTAAGTTAATCCTAGGTCTGTTACACAAAGTTAGGGGCAGGCCTGTTACTCAAGGTTTGGGGCATAGATTTCCATTCTTTGATTTTGCCTAACTATTCCTTTAGTGTGCTTTCTCTTGGACACTCTCCTTCAACCACCCTCTAAAGCAGGCCTGCACAACTCAAAATGTAAGACGGGCCGAAATACTTAATGAAAAACTTGTGCGAGCCGAAAGAGAATAGGACAGGACTTGTGCGGGCCAAAAGAAAGAAGGACAGGAGGGAAAGCTATTAAGAAAATAATAAGAATAAAGAAAATTTTGTTACTTGGCGGGCGGCAAAGTGGGTGGTGGCGGGCCGCATGCGGCCCACGGGCTGTATGTTGTGCAGGCCTGCTCTAAAGAATGCTCTTGGTTTGGGAGTCCTGTCCAATCTGGCCTGAGCAGCTTTGTCATTACCAAAAAGTTATCCATATTACTTTATCCCTGAAAAAGTCCTTTCCTGGCTTTTTCATAATCATTGCAATGCACAGAGCTTTGGATTGCATTGTTCGATATAATTTCTACTTTGTGCATTTGTAATCTAATTATCATTTTGATTTTATGAAGAATACTGTATTTATTGGCGTATAACACGCACTTTTTCTCCCTGAAAATAGGTTTTTTGTACAGAAACTGAAAAAAAAAGAGAAAAAAGTCCTTAAAAATTACAATGAAGCTAACTAGAGCATTTTTAACATTCAAACTTATATAATCTATCTGCAATCATTATTTTTATTTTCTTATTTCTTACAATTTTCACTACAATAAGGATGAAATGGAGAAGCTGTCCCCACCTCCCTTATCAAGGTTCCACGAGGAAAAGACAACAAACTTCAGTTTTGGGTCTCAGCCATCTCAAAATGAATGCATGTTTGGTAGGGATATAAGTGATGACATGGCATACAGTGAAAATAATAACAGCAGAGTAAACTTACTACTGGACTGTCCCAGAGAATCCACAATTGCCTTCGATAGAAATACAAATTACATCGTGTCAGATGATGAAGATGGAGAAGAGAAACATGATTCAGGGTGTGTAGTTGTTTGCCTAAAAAAAATATTTAAATTCTCTATAAAAATTATTGCAAAATTTATGTTAAAAAATGTTAAATTTTTATATATATTTAAATTTTTTTTTTTTTTTTTTTTTTTTAAATATAATCAAAGTTTTCTGCTATCCCTTTCTCAACATTAAAGAAATAAAATTTCAGGAATGAAGACATACTGGACATTAGTGCTCCTTTACCTTCGACATCTCAAAATGTAGATCATGATGACTCTGTACAGCATCCAGCTTCTTGTCCAGTGTCACCCGAGTGGGATTTGAACACTCGTGCCATACTTGATAGGGGAAAGAAGTTTTCTTTATTGGCACAGGTTTGTAAAAAAAAATAATTTTTTAATGAACTTTTCATGTTATAAAAGAAGTTTCAGTAAACTAAATGGATATCAAGGAATAGTAAAGCATTTGTTTACTAGAAATAGTTGAATATCATGTTTAATACATATTTCCATTTTAATAGTCATGTTTTATTTTCAAATTTACCCTTGCATACTTTATAATCATCATTTTAAGATTCATTTTAGTACCTGTATATTTCATTATAAATGTGTGAAATTGAAAACAAAAAAAAGTATCTGTTTTGAAATAAAACCAATTTTCTTTTCAGTTATCTTGTGAACAGAGGAGGTTAAGCTTTGAGAGGCACAACAGAGAAATGAACCAATATACCAGACTCAAAGAAGCTGAGATACATGCAGAAATAGAGAGAAGTAATGACAAGCGACAAAGAATGATTGACAGAAAGCAAAAACAAGGGTAGAATGCTTTTTACTTAATCGTACCCGGATACTCTGATTTTGAATTTCTCATCTAAAAGAAACACTTCTTTTTACATTTTCTTCATTGATAAAATAATTTCCACTGTAGATTCCGTTCCAACAATGTAAAGTCACAACATTCGATTCTATGCTTGTTCGCATTATTCTCCTAGCAGCAGAGGGAGTCTATTTTTTGCTGGCATCCGTCTGTCACAATGTGTCGATGGAGTGGGCTTCGGAGGACGAAATCCACATGGCCTGGGAGTATTCATCAGGGATTATAAGCTGGTTCCCACCAGTGGCGTCGCAGGAGTTGTCGGAATGTTTCATTGTATCAATGTTATCCGCCTGTCGGGACTCCATCTCCGGGTTTGATTTCAGAGTTTCCCCTCTCTTAGATGAGTTGCCATCCAAGGTTAACGAGTCCCATCCTCCCGGGGTGCTGGTGGTGTTTTTTGCTTGACTGAGCTCTGGCTGGAATTGAACTCCAGACCACCAACTTGAGGTTTGCTCAGTTTAGTCCACTTGGCCACCCAGCACCCTAGAGGGAGTCTATTATCAATTACCATAGCCATAAAAAGCGTCAGGTTGAGAATAACGTGGGTTTTTTTACTTTTAATCAAAAGAAGTTGGGGCTTGTGCTTTAGCTAAATTTAACTTCCAGCTTTGGTGAGAACTTGGGCATTGAAAAAGCCTAATTAAATGCCTTTTTTTAAAAAAAATAAATTTCCCACTATACTGTAGTGGTCTCCTCTTAAGATTATATTTCAAATTATAATTAATGTTACAAAGCTCAATGTATGAGTCTCCATATTTTTGCTGAATTTCATGCTTGACAGTAAATTAGATTTTTCTTTAAAGTTTCATAAATGTTAAATTTCCAAATTTGTAATCAAAAGCATAAAAACTCAACCATTGTTAGCTGTTATCAAGATTCCTTTCATTTTCTCAAACTATTGCCTATTACATAGGCAGTTAATTTCGATTAGAAATTCATCTAAAGTAACTAACAGGCAATTTTGTTACATGCCATAATACCACTCTATAGTTGTTGGTTTTTGCTTGATTTGTATTATAGATTGGAAGAAACCAGCAAACAGCTTCAGAGATTGAGAGAGGACCATAGAGAACATCAGAAGGTGACACAATAAAAACAACTTTTATTGGAGAAATATTCGATCATTAAAAAGAGTATTTAGATTATTACTGGGTTTTTTTTTTTTAATAACTTGAATTTTTTGCAGAGTTAAGAAAAATGTTGAATATTTTTGATCATGCATTTTTTTTTTTTTTAGAAAATTGACACAAAACAAAGAGAAATTGAAAGAAAAAGAGAAATTTTGGAGGAGGAAGAGCGCAGAAGGTGATTTTTATATTATGTGTTACTTTGTGGTATCTGTCCACAGATTTTGACATTGAGATAAAATTATATAAGGAATATGTTAAAAACATTACGTTACAAATTTTAAAAAAATTATAATTCTTAAATCCTTTAACTTAACATTTTGTTGAATTTGCATCTCCACTGATTCCTGTTGAAACAAAATATTTTTTCATAAACTGCATTATTTGGATTTTCTGCTTATTTTGTTAACTCTTATAAAAAAAAATTTAACTTTCTTGTAGGCAAAAGAGAGAAGTTGAGAAAAAGGAGGCGCTTCATTCTCTATTGAAGCAGATAGATGGGAACAGACTGGCATGTAACAATCTCATTGACACTTTCCAAGATAAGGCATCACTTCCTGATAAAGTGGAACAAATCCGTGGGATACTAGAGAGAAACTGCTCAGTGCTAGCATTGCAGGTACTTGTTAAGACCTTAATTTGACAGCTGTATGTTGGTGTGGAGATAAACCTTTTACTCTCAAATTGACGCATAACAATGTCTTCATTTTTGTAATTTGCTTCTTTTTGTTTTTTAAATGGTTTCATAAAAAAAATAATTCAAATTGCTATTATAAATTTTCTTGAAAATTGCAAGAGAATGGGGACAATGTTTAAAGCAAGACATTTATAAAAAGCAATATTCATTTGTACTGAAAAAAAAACTATATCCCTCTTATAACTCTATGTCCCCTGGCTTGATTCAGGAGTGAGTAAACATCATTAATAATATCTCCTCTGCCTATATGGTCTGGCATTCAGGTTGTGTTACTAGACATGCCTTCGGGGGAAGTGGAAACCCTTTCTTGGTACGCTATACAGAGCTAAGCCTCTGGAATACGTTCTCTGAGTGTTGACAATTGAGATTAGTTGGATTTTTATGCCCTTGAAAATTTTAGAAATAGTTTTCTTTTTTTCCCCTCTTGTCAATGAGAACAAATTTAGACATATTACCAACATTAAATGGGATTGTGAAATTTTTTATTTTTTTTTAAGACAAAGACATTTTATAAATTATGTAATAAAAATTTTGCTTCACATGTTTCCTAACATTAGAAATAGTTATCAAATATTCCATTAGATTCAGACAGCTGAACAGTCCACGTGTATCCCAGAGGAATTGGTGACAAAGTTTTCTGAACATAGAGACAAAAGTCAGCAAGCACTTGAGTTACTCAAGAAACAGATTGGTAAGCTCATTACATTGAACAGTTTTTATTCAACAAGGTACACTCATAAAATAAAAAAGTATTTTATTCAACATGGTAAACTCATAAAATAAAACAGTATTTAATTCAACATGGTAAACTCATAAAATAAAACAGTTTTTAATTCAACATTGTAAACTCATAAAATAAAACATTATTTAATTCAACATGGTTAACTCATAAAATAAAACAGTATTTAATTCAACATTGTAAACTCATAAAATAAAACAGTATTTAATTCAACAAGGTAAACTCATAAAATAAAACAGTATCTAATTAAACATGGTAAACTCATAAAATAAAACAGTTTTTAATTCAACATGGTAAACTCATAAAATAAAACATTATTTAATTCAACATGGTAAACTCATAAAATAAAACAGTATTTAATTCAACATTGTTAACTCATAAAATAAAACAGTATTTAATTCAACAAGGTAAACTCATAAAATAAAACAGTATCTAATTAAACATGGTAAACTCATAAAATAAAACAGTGTTTTATTCAACAGCCTTTGGGTAGTAGATATTTGTCTCCACGATTAGGTAAAAAGAAAACTAACTAATATTTCTCTTATATTTAGCGTCAACGCAGATTGAATCTTAGAATGTGCCATGACTGCAGATATCACTAATTCAATCATGAGTCATGATTTTGATATCACTAGTCCAATTTTGGAATCAGCCATGACTGTAGGCATGAATAAGCCATGAAATAATACAATGACATATTATAATCTTGTTCTTAAAGTAAAATTATTGCTTGGAGTTTATTTTGGCTTTTGACATTTCACCCAAGATTTCCCCATGTTGTTTAAATATCAGAGTTTTATAAATGTGTTGAAGTAATCAGGCCTGTTATTGGTCATCAAGCTGAACGAAAAAAACAGGATCACCATAAAATTATGAGTTTAAAATAGTTTGAACTTTTTGATCCTGTGTAATAGATGTTAAAGAGGGATTAAGAGGCAGCTTTAGCAGGTGAAAAAGTATAGATTATTATATATATTAATATAGCAAAATTCCTATTTTATTCATTACTACTCTAGAAGAAACGAATGTTAATATAAAGGCAAGTGAAGCCAAGAAGCAAGAGGAGCTGAAAAAACAGGCAGAAGATAAACAGAAACAGATTGATGTAGGTGACACCTCAAGTCATTTAAATATACTGTACATTTACCTCTGAAAGAAAAGTTATCACTCAGAATCAGCTTATGTTTTGCCATGGTGGGCCCAAAGGTGTCAAATAATGTACCAGAGGGTGATTGCTGGTGTTTATTATAGATTATATGATTTATATTATAAAAATAATTGAAATTTTTTTTTATTTTCCTAATATTAAAATATGATAATTACCGGTATAATAAATGACATCAATATCTTATGAAAAATATTGCTAGCAGTTTCAAAGGTTTATATTATAAAAATAATTGAAACATTTTTTAAATTTTCCTAATATTAAAATAATATGATAGTTACCGGTACAATAAATGACATCAATATCTTATGAAAATGATTGCTAGCAGTTTCTTAGGTTTTTCAACCATTTTTTTTTAAACGAGTGGTTGTTATTTCAAATAACATTTTTAAAAAACAACAAAGAATTGTTTGGATCTGTATATCATCAGTCAACCTCAGAAAATTATATATTTTCTTTAAATTAAAAAAAATAAATTTTGTACACTTTTGCATTATAATGGCAATATTTAAAATAAGGAAAATAGAAATGCTCATGTGGAAATTGGGGAAGGGGGTGGGGGTGTATTCTGATGTTGGAATAGGAGTCTGTAAAAGATTTTTTTGTTTCATAGATTTATACAACAGGAACATATTAAGCTATACTTCTTTTTTTGTATTTGATTTCTCACAGGCCACAAAGCAGTTGGCTGATGCACAGCAAGACTTCAGAGGTCGGTAGTGTGGTTTTGTGATGGCATTTTTAAAACATTTTTATGCATATATGTTGTTGTTTTATTTAACGCTCAAAGATTATCATAAAATTATTTTCACTTATGATATGCTTAATTTTTTATATATATATAATTTTTATATATATATATATATATATATATATATATATATATATATATATAATATGTGAAAATATGTTTATAATATTCAAATATATATATTTTTATAATATAGTATATATCTCTTTTTAATATTTTTATTTTTATATATATATAATTTTTATATATATATATATATATATATATATATATATATATATATATATAAAATGTGGGAACATTTGATTAAGATGCTAATGCATGCATCTTCTTATGATAATGCATATGTCTTCTTATGATAATGCACATGTCTTCTTCACAGTACAAGCCTTTAAGTACATACTTCAAGAACAAAGTTTAAAAGCTAAGAAACTTTCTGATGTGGAGGCAAGCATCAAAGCATTCTCAGAAAATGCACAGGTAAATTTTTAGGCCTTGCTTTCTTAGTATAACTAGAAAGCTGACATTAGATTATAATACAGTACGTCATATTTAAAACACATGTGAATCTAAAATAAGAATTGTTAATGTTCAGTGAACAAATTTAAATTTAATGTGAGGACCGCCTATGTGTTAACAGTTCCCTGGGTAAATATATAGTCACCCCACCCACCCGAGAACTGTTCATATGTCAAGCCATGGACAGCACCCAGCAGCATGGTTTATCAGTCAGAGCGGGGTGGGAATCAGGCTTCATCAATTCACTCTTTTTCTGTTGAAAAGGGTTCAGTACAAACTCTTGCTTATTTTTTAAACAGATGAAGAAATACAGATTCGACCTCCAGAAGGCAATCAACACCACCATCAACGCCATATCAGCTGTTACTGGGAGTCACTTGCTGGATAAGCTGCAGAAACTTCAGAAGCTTCTTAGTGGACAGGTCATCGAAGTGTCTGGGAAACGCGTCTCTGTCAAGGATGCCCCGGAAGCTTTGCTTTTCTCTCAAAACTTGGTGGCCAAGATGCTGGTGGTTAGTAGAAAAATGAATGCTGACTATAAATTTTGTTTTCTACACAGTTACACATGCCAAGTATTAAGCTTTGACATCTACTTTGTACTTGTTTGGATCCCACAGGATGACATGTATGTAGATAGTACACAGTCAAAGATGTAAAAAGCTAAAAGGAGTGATCATAAATTAAAACATCAATTTAAAATAAAGAGTAAAGTCTGCTAGTTATTTTACTGTACATTAATGTTTTTTGTTTTTTTAAAATGAAAATGTGATTGACAAAATTATTTTTTTAAAGAATTAGTGAATGAAATTGAGCGTGGATTAAAAAAGTAATTGATTTACATCTGTCTCTTTTTTTAAACTTTATTCCAAGTAGCTCAAACCCCCCCCCCCTACCTCCTAAACTTTTTCATGCTAATTACCACCAACAAAACTTTTCAAAACATGAAAATTAATGTTTTTTGTTTTTTTAAAATGAAAATGTGATTGAAAAAATTATTTTTTTAAAGAATTAGTGAATGAAATTGAGCGTGGATTAAAAAAGTAATTGATTTACATCTGTCTCTTTTTTTAAACTTTATTCCAAGTAGCTCAAACCCCCCCCCCCCTACCTCCTAAACTTTTTCATGCTAATTACCACCAACAAAACTTTTCAAAACATGACATTTCAGAGGAAGGGAGAAGAGCAAGTGACCTCCAAGCATGAGACAGCCTTTGGCATAGCAGGTGTTGTGGTGGGGCTCTGGTCGTCGTTCCCTATAGTTGGTGAGCTGTTCATGGCCCACCTGCAGGCCCTGTGTCCTTATATACTACCATTCTACACAACACGGCAAGATGTCCAGTCAAACAATGACTATTACAAGTAAGATACTTTAAAAACTTTGATCACTGGAGTTTTATTTAAAGATAATTTTTAAAATTTCATTCTCTTTGTTGATAAATGAGACACAAATAACATTATGTGTTAAGGTTTATTTATGATTGGACACAAGACAAAATCAAATGTTTTGGCAATGCCTCCATCGGTACAACAAAAAACATTAATGAGATTATAATTATAAATTAAATTTACATAATATATGAATATCCTACATATAACTAAAATGAAAGAAAATAATAAGAATGGGCACAAATCCGTAACGAAATCAATGATGAAAAGAATGAAACAGATTTCTTTTTTCTTTTTTTTTTTGCCTCAAAGTTGATAGTTGCAGCTAAGACTGTTAGACGTTATACTTATAGAAATTGATGTAAACTTGACAGTGCGTACCATCATCAATTTTATGATTTTAAAAATATTTGTAACGCATTTGATGCAATACATCCATAATCAGGTAAGTTTATAATTCAACTGATTCATTATCTTTGCAGGTCGGTGGGCTACAGAATAAACGATGATGGGAGTATAGAGGAGCAGGACAAATTCCTGCGCCGCATGTCAGGTCTCATGAGACTGTACTGTGCCTGCATGGTCATCACCCCACCTAGCATGCAAGCCGGCCATCACCCCCATGGTGTGGAGCAATCGTGGATGTGGCTGGCCCGCACCATGAATCTGGATCCGCACCCGGACATCACGGCGGCCATGATCTTCGATGTCCTGTCCGTCACAGGCCATTTTTTGCTCCAGCAGTACAAGGACCAGTTTGTCAAGCTGTTGTATGTTTTGACTAAAAACTACCTCCCCACACTGAAGAGCATCTCAGTGACCAGTGGCACTGTGGGAAGACTGGAACTGTTTCTGTCTAGTTTTCTAAAAAATCCACAAATCCCAGCTCCAGAGGGTTACTTTACCCCTAGGTTTTGGTCCACTCATTAATTATAATTTTCAGATGTAAAATTTAGTAATGATACTTTGTAGTAGGGTATTTAATTTATGTCATTTGTATGTTTTCCTGTAGGCTTGATATACTTACCCCTTATAGTTTTGGAGTTCTGACAATGGTCCAGTGTGTGTCCACACAGTGGTGTGTCATGAAAGCCAGTTAAGTGTGACACAAAAATAACATGGTCGTGTCATTAAAGCCTCACAGGTGTTTGGTTAAAATACCTTACAGGTGTGTGGGGCAAAATTAATTTGACCTAAAAAGTAATACAGCATGCTAAATATTAATCTGTTGAATCCAGTCAGCCGATAGTTTTAAAATTTTATTTCATTCTACTCCTTCCTAAAACAACAATATACTTTTAATGCTTGAATGGTCTTGCACAAATTTAGTGATTAGTGTGAAGATTAAAATGTTCAAAACTGCTGAATTAACATCAGATCCGGATTAACTCATTAAGCCTGTTATTATTATGTATTTGAAATGATGCTCTTGTATCTGAACAATTGTACCCTATGGTACTATTTGTATGGGTTAATATATTTTTTGTTTATATATTGGAAAATTAAATATAGAATAAAATACTCATAACAAAAAGCCCAAGGGAAAGATATCATGAGACCAGGCCTTGCACACGAAATTAAGTTATGTTAAAAGAGAAACACTTTAAAATGCCTCCTACTTTCAAAGATAACACTGCATTCTAAATTCTATGGATTTTTTTTTTCTAGACAATTAAGTTCTAGAAATTCCTGGTGAATTAAAATTTTTGACTGATTTGTTTGAACTGTTATTACATGAGTAATAGTTCTTGACATCATCAATCTACAAAGAAAATGTTTACTTATTTCTGTTCGCCCTTCATTACAAATGAGTCATCCCCATTTATTCACTGCACAAGGTGTTGGTTGAAAATAATCCTTGAACATTCTTTTGAAATTTGGTGCTCTTGGGAATTGAGCATTTCTGGAGGGTAGTCATTTATCCACAAATAAAGAAATGAAACATATTTTTTTAAATTTTGTAAATAGACACTTTAATATTTAAAAAAAAAAAAAAAAATTTTTTCTAATAAGTTAAATAAATTAAGAGAAAGCTTGGGTGAAGTTATCATTGTGTTAATTCTTTTAAAATTTGGTGCTTTTGGGAATTGAGAATTTCTGGAGGGTAGTCATTTATCCACAAAAAAAGAAATGAAAAATATTTTTTTAAATTTTGTAAATAGAAACTTTAAAATTTAAAAAAAAAAAAAAAAAAGTTTTTCTAATAAGTTAAATAAATTAAGAGAAAGCTTGGGTGAAGGTAGCATTGTGTTTAAGAAATAGTAGAGTGTAGAGTTAGAGAACCATCCTTGGTCGCTTTGGCATGCTTCAAGGGGAGTTAAAATAACAGTTTCATCAATATCAGCTGCTGGTATTGATTTCTCTCCCATTTGTTTTAAGATTTTTCTAAATTTGTTTTAGGCTTGTGGTCTTATCCAAACTTTAAACATGTCTACAGAGACTAAGCACAGCTTGAAATGGTTGGACAATGAATTGATCTTTCCCTATTTGTTGTCAATGTTTGATATGATACCAGGGTTTCTTTGTGTTGAATGCATATTTTGCTATGTAACATTACAGAGTGTTCATGATTAATTTTATTAAAAATATATATATATATTTTGTTGCTGTTTTTCTATATTATTTATAAAACTGCAATTGTAATAATAGAATATGTCTATGTAATTATTTAGAAGAGGGGGAAGGGGTTGGGGGGGGGAGAGATTTAGATGAATGAATCCAAGTCCTGTGGATAGTCCACACAAGTCCTGTGTATGGTCCACACAAGTCCTGTGGATGGTCCACGCAAGTCCTGTGTATGGTCCACTAAAGTCCTGCATATGGTCCACACAAGTCCTGTGTATGGTCCATGCAAGTCTTGTGTATGGTCCACAGAAGTCCTGTGTATGGTCCACACAATTCCTGTGTATGGTCCACGCAAGTCCTGTGTATGTTCCATGCAAGTCTTGTGTATGGTCCACAGAAGTCGTGTGTATGGTCCACACAAGTCATGTGGATGGTCCACATGTTCTCAGAAAGCTAACCAGAAGCACAGAAGTGCACTAGAGGTCCATGACTTAACATTCCTTCATAGTTTGACAGCAGAATGTGCAGCACATAACATCACCCTGTATATAGCAGCCCCCCCCCTCCCGCAACCTCCTCCTGTGTCAGTTGTTATTATTGTCATAATTTAATGTTTGTCCATTGTCATCAGTTGCCAACAATACAATCAGTGCATGCTTGTGACATCTTCAGAATAGTGGCTCTCTCTCTTCAGTCTGACGTTTGTCCAATTTCATCAGTTGCCAACAATACAATCAGTGCATGCTTGTGACATCTTCAGAATAGTGGCTCTCTGTCTTCAGTCTGACGTTTGTCCAATGTCATCAGTTGCCAACAATACAATCAGTGCATGCTTGTGACATCTTCAGAATAGTGGCTCTCTGTCTTCAGTTTGACGTTGATGCATTCAGTGGTTACAATGGATAATTTTATGAATATTTGTGTGCACTATATCACTGGGAGAGGAGGAGGCGTCCTGTGCTGTGAGGTGTAGCAATGAACCAACACAGCCTCATGGTTGGCCAAGTAATATCATTGGGGAGGAGGGGGTTGTGTCGCTAGCTGTGCCGTGAGGTGTAGCAATGAAGCAACTCAGTCTCACTGCTAACCCCCCACCCACCCATCCCACTGGCCCTTGTGTCTAGTCTGACAGTGAGGTGGGCCATCAATTAAGTTTGAACAGTATGGATATTAAATGTCTCCTAGTGATCTTTATTGTTGTGTTATTTTGCTCTCTATCGATCAAACATTAATAAATTATTATATGATTTGGGGGGGGGGGGGGGAGGA